ATACGCCACTTGAATAGCTTCTGGCTCCAGAAGTGAGATGAGCTGAAGAAGTTGACAATGGTTCGGTCGTTGTTTGCGGTGTCCTTCATGTCCGGGTGGTCAAGACACTTCTTGACGATGAGATTAAACACGTGTAAACAACACGCTAATGGGATGACATGAGGATACTCTTCTCTAACGAGTCTCTGTAAAACCAATTGGTGATGAACAAAAAACTCTCAGCCTTCTAAGCATCACAAGAAAAGAAGAAATGAGGAAGACAAAAAAGAAATATATCAAGTACTTACTCGTAACTTGACCATTGAACTGGGTGAATCAGTGACAATAGCTCCTATCTGCTCCCAGGTGACATCTTGCCCGTGTAAAGCAGTTTTCAAAGCAGCCAGGATGTTGTCTGAAGTATGTCGGATCTCATCCAAGTCTAGAACATCAATAAGCTTCTTGATTTGGGTACCACGTAAAAGAAGGACAGCATAGACACTGTTTCGGGAGCAGTCAGTCCATCCGTCTAATGAAATAGTCATATTGCTATTCTGCTTAAGTTCCGCTTTTGACGCAACTGCATAACGAGCATGAAGTTGTGGAAGAACTTTGTCCATCATAACGTATCGTGAGGCTGGAGTGAATGGAGCAATTGAGAGTTTCTGTTGAAATTCGAGAAATGATTTGTTATGGAGAAATCGAAAAGGAATATGGCCAGTAATGAGTGCTTTGAGTAGATCTTCATAAATTTTCATATTTTCTTCTGGTTTACGGATACTGAAATGATGGAGATTTGAAAAATCATGATCAAGTTTTGGTCGCTTTAAAATGGAAACAGGTGCGGGTGTTGATCCAGTTGATTCTTCTGGTGTCGTATTCAGTGGTTGTAGTGCAACTTCAAGATTGACTTGTTGGTAATTAGATCTTTCGTGTATTGAAATGGATTTACACAATTGAGTCATATGGTGATATAATTTTGGTGGCTTCCCATCCATTTCTAACTTGCAGAATTTACACTTTGCACGGCGTCGTCCGTGGTGGCGAATGCTGAAAGCTTTGAATCCAGTCCATTTGTTACCGCTACCTGAAGGAGGCTCAATCCACGTTGCTTTAGGTGACATAATTGATAGGTGAATGAATAAAGGTGCCAACCCCAGCGCTGATAGAGTGGGAACTCCTTGAAGGTGGGCGTGAGAAAGGGTGGAAACCTCCTTTTCTCACCTACTTAGGTTTGAGGGCGCTCCCACCCCTTTTTTCAAAAAAAAACCCGCGCCCGGGAGCGCCGCTCCCAGGCGCTGCTCAGGGCGCCAAAATCGCGCCGCGCCCACCACCTGACATGACACGTGAATGCCAAGATTCAAATAGGGGATGATTAGGGTTTGTAACTGAAGATTAAATTCAGTATAATATGAGATCTGGTAATGTAATAAGGCCTGTTTCACTTGTCTTTCATAATGACCAAAACTCAGTTGTATGAGGAGGTAATCTCAACAAGTGCTCCATCTGAAAACAGTTTTTCTAGCACTTTAAGGGTCTTGGGTGACCACTGTGCATCTTTTGCTTTGTAAAAGCTTTAGGGACAAGTTTGGTGCAAAAATTGGTCCAAACAATTCTTGTGGGGTTTTCTTCTCCTTTTAAAGTAGTCATAATGGGACATATAACACTTTAATAAACAATAAGAGCATATGCTTTTTTAAAGTAGTTATATCATCATTTGATTAACCAGTAGATACATGGCAGCCCTGAGGCCTGATTACAGGACCAAGGGCTAACAGTACCATATATAATATTGAAATATTGTATAAAGCCATAAGCTACATCTCAAGGCTCAGTGTCAAGAGTAACTTAAATGCATTTATGTAATGTATTAAATACATAGTAAACCTAACCCAAGCATCAACCACAAGTAGACATGTGAATATACAAGACTCACATTGTCAGACCTTGAGTCCTTCAGTAAGAAGAACCAGAAGGCCTACATGAGAACCAACATAACAGCTACTAACATATCTGTTAATAAACTTGCTATAAGAAATATATAAAAAATAAAATGAATAAACAAAATACATAAGATAAAAAAGCTACAACTTAAAGGTCTAGTTTCAAAGACCCCAAGATAAAAACCAGAATCTTGAACACAGGAAATCTGGTTAACAAAGATTTGAAGAAAGGAAAACAACCTTTTAGAAATGAATAGAGCACAAAATAGGCATCAGGAGGATCACAGTATAATAGACAAATAAAGGGAGGGATTAGACAATCCACTAAAACTACAAGAAGTTGGAACTAACCCTTGGCGCAGAGGAAACCATGGTGGAAATCCCAATCAGGATCACCTAATAGAATACTTACCTTGCAGTCTACCCAAAGCGCAAAGAAGAGCGAGTAACCTAGCTACTCTCACCAACAGAACCACAAGTTGCACCTATATATTAAAATCAGGTTTCTTTACACATTACTTACTATCCTCCTAATCCCAATTGGGTCTCCTCAACTACGCCTTGTTCCATTTGTTTTATTCTATGTTCCACAATCATGTTGCCACTAATCCCAATGCGGTGTGTGAGAGTCACAACCACAATGTATGTTTGTTAACCTATGTCTAGAGTCTGTTCGTATATATAAGAGATGTTATTTTGTGTTTGTTGCTGTTTCTTTACTCAAATATCTTTTCATTCTCTTACTCACCACCTTCCACCAGGTGAAGAACATTCTCTCATCACTCCTACGTGATCCTTGGCCTTATAGTGCCCTTACTCACATTGTCGTGATTCCTTCAGGTGAAGAACATCCTCTCATCACTCCTACATGATCCTTGGCCTTATAGCGCCCTTACTCACATTGTTGTGATTCCTTCAGTTTCATATTTTATTACTATAGAGGGAAAACATATAAGTAGAGGTCCTCACGAGAAAAATGAGAGAACCTCACCTGCTTTTTACCATACATTTTCAAGAGAAAATTCTTGCTGGAGATTAGCTGGAGTCCAACTTTCTATACTTGATCAGAGTCCTTCCTTGCTGCTTCTTTGTATTTAAAACATAGCCTCTTGAATCCCTGAGTTCTAGCTTCATTTCTCAAACCACTTTCCAGCTCTACTCATCAAGACCCTTAGTTTTTCCAACCACAATTTGCAGCTCTTAGCCAGAGCTGACCTAATAGGCTAGTACCATCCCCCTACTCCTTCTCTGTTGGTCTCAGACCCAGGTTTTGCACCTTACGAGGTTGGCAAGATCCCTTTGTTACCCAACGTAGGCTACTCTAAGGAATCCCCCTTCAGAGATTTAAACCAGGCGTAGGCTTGACCTACCAACTACTGTTATCCTACAGTGCGCCTGCATCCATAATACTTAAACATTCATAAGTCAATCAGTGATCCCTACTGATATTGGGTAATTATTATTGCCAGTATTAAGAATTACTCACCTTCCTATTCCACAGACCCAGCGGAATAGTTGTCAGGACCCCCTTACAAGCAGATTGACTAGACCTCTTGTAAGTTTATTTAGTAGCCACCCTGACACACACGCCAACCACAAGTTGACGCTTGACCTAAGAGTTTATAACCCCCCCTGCTTTCCTGTAAGCATCCCTCCTCTTTCAATACCATCACAACACAGAACCACATTTTACTTGACTCCTATTAAGAGGATCTTCAAGTACATGGTCAGTAGTGTAGCTTGTCAAAGACCATTCTTGAGCATTACAGGTTCCATTGCTGAACACCCAAGGTACTGGTTTCTAGAAGCCCAGGGCACTCATTGTCTCTAGAAATAAACCTTAAAGTAGCAAAGCTTTGAAATTTTTAAAGATTCTACAGTAGCCTTCAGGATCTTTGGTTTGCCAAAGTGTGAAGCCTGCCCCTTGCAGTCTCACAAGGTTAGAGTGCACTAGCTCTTTATTGGCCCTTGGTCTTCTTCTCTCTTTCTCAAATCCTCCTCTTAGAGGTCAACTGTCTTTGAAGTTGGCACAAGGTGTTAACCAAGTGGAATATGCAACAAGGGGAGTGTCACACAAGCAACAGGTGTCACGAGAAAAAACCACTCTGTGAGGAGGAGCAACAAAATGGCCCCTCAACAGATAACCCAAGGAGTGTGTCAAACCTCTGCTAACCTCAATGCGCCCATGACCAGTGTTGTTTGCTCCCTCTTCTGTCTAACACCATTGTACTTGAAACAATTGTCTTTCAAAGATTCACTAAAATAACAACCTCATAGTATCTTCTCAATAGTTCACTTATTCATAATCCAAACCAGTCTATAGCGTGTTATTTTCAGTCTAGTTATCATCTTTTGAATAATTTTTTACTTCCTGCCCACCACCCTTCCTGTCAGACAGAGGGTTAAAGTTTCATGTGGTGCAACATTGTTATACACTGTTACCTTCATTTCCATTCGACAGAGCGGGGGGCATCCCAGTGGGATGACTCAGCGCCTGACATGGCCACCCACAGTGCTCCCAATCATCTAGCCCCGGGCCAACCATGCAATTCTAGGCCCCGGGCCACTATGCGTAACTCAGGTGACCGTTGCTCACAAACCTCTATCTGATTCCATAGTCTTCACTTGGTTGTACCATGTGAAGATCACACTTTACCTTTCTTATCATATTCTTAGTGCAGAGTACAACCAAAAAGAGTACGCCGGACAGACGCGCATTCCTCATAATACACGCTCTCTGATCAGAAGTAGCTCCAAGATTTTTCTATGCTTTTCTTTTTGTTTCATGAATCTGAAATGTATGTCACTCCAATTATGCCCTTTCTCTCCCTGTTCTGCACCCAAAATTGAGTTCCGCTCCACCAAGCCCTGACCCCTCCAATTCAGGGTGTGACTTGGTCTACCCTTCGGGAATTCTGGATGCTTACTGAGCCCACCAGGGCCGGACACCTGCCGGGCCGGACCAGAGTATCCGGGGCCGGGTCATAGCCCTAGCCGTGATACTCGTCGAACTGAGCAAGTTTACAGACAAAGCGCGACATTTCTTATCCAACCTTGATCAACTTCGTGACCAGGTCGATGTCTGCCGATAATCGTGGCGCTTTTGTTGTCATTGAAGGCCTTGATCGATGCGGGAAATCTACGCAGTGCAAAATATTGGCTGATCGCTTGACGAATGCCGGTCGATCCGTAGAATTGATGCGATTTCCCGGTCAGTCCTCTTTGTTTCGAACGCACTTTGTCCGAAGTCCTTTCGATCTCCCTATTCACTGAGGTGTGTGAATTGGTCCGCACAGATCGAGAGACAGTCATTGGGAAGATGATTCACTCGTATCTCAATCAAGAATCAGATTTGGATGATCACGCTATTCATCTTCTGTTTGCAGCCAACCGGTGGGAGAAAAGGCACGTAGATCCCCTTGGGCTTGTTAGTAAAGGCGGCAGAGAGTTCTAGCTCCACTGCCTCGCTGCTGACTCGCAAGTTGTCATTCTCTCTCTACCACGGCAGTGCGATGATCCATTCACAGCTACAATCTGGGACTACCCTCATTTGTGACCGTTACGCGTTCTCGGGCGTTGCTTTCACATCTGCCAAATTTCAGCTGCGGACACCTCCTCAACCCGAGTCATTCACCTCCCTCTCAAGTCCCGATCGCGGCTTACCCTTGCCCGACTTGGTGATTTTTCTGACAATGCCAATGGAAGCAACGGTCACCCGGGGTGGCTTTGGACAGGAGCGTTACGAAAAAGAAGATTTACAGGCCGAAGTCAAACGTCAATTCGAGCAAGTTGTGGAGCCAGCCTTCACGCGTCTACATGGCCAAGGAAGGTGGGTGGAAATCAATGCAAGTGGATCAATTGACGAGGTGACATGTAGGATTTCCAAGACTGTAGATCGCCTGCTTGGCTCCAAGCTAGACCCGGCGGTGGGTAAACTATGGGCCGAGTGAGGGGATGTGGCCGTCCTTGATCACATGAATTACACCAAACCACCCAGAACTGCTCATCAGAATACCGCGGCTCATTCGTCATTTTTTCACAATATGTGCATCTTGGTACATTCACCACACATTTTTGACTCTAATAATCTGGAGAGCCGCCTAAGACCAAAAACCTCTACAAAATATGCTGAAGAAACTCGTTGCGGATTCTGCAAATTACGGGTTCTGTATTGATCAGGCCTGATTTCTCTCTAGAATTCATGTGACGCTCTCAAGGAATTTTCTGAGAGATCATGATTAAATGAGTGTTCACCTTGCAAGTAGCTTTTGGGTGTTTTTGTATCTATTGATGACATAGTAACGAAGGCCATATAGCTCTGTATGTGCAAATCATGCGGAAATCTGAGCTGAGCGTATCATATATGGGCATGTCTCGCAAAAACATTCATGTTTATGTCAATGAGTTATCCTTGTTGAAGGCTAGAAAGGCTCGTTTGAATTAGTACACTGGATTATATGCCAGTAGACCCCGATCGCTCGTTGTGATGAAATTTGTTCCTCAGTAGAACAGTAAAATTATTTAGCATAGTCTATTTATTACTTTATTATAATGACAGGGATTAGACACCAGCTCAATACTAGTATTCAAAGGTGATATCTTGATAATAAAGAAATTATACAAGAGGTAACAAAACTTAAATGCCAAACACATTGTATAACGATAAGAAAGCGTCATATTAAGGGTAAATTTCAACGACTTTTTCGGCAACAGCTGGTAAAGTATCACGTATGTGTGTATCCAGCATTTGTCGAGAAATCTGAGCAAGTCTGCTGTTAACGATGGATGAGGTGTGGGTTAAATCTTCTATATCGCCGAGAACGTGGTTAAGGAGACGAGTGTTGGTGGTGGATTCCAATGCATAAGCGGCGACGAAGTCCAATAACAAGATAAGCCTCCAATTTGAGCTAGCGACGATATCGTCATTTTTGATATCCTCAGCTTCAGGAATAGTGATCAATTTCTTGATGGCGTCTAGGGTTTCATACTTGCGATCCGTCGAAATCTTGGGTGAAGTTTCAAATAATTCGTTCACCAATTGCATCATCTCTTTGTTCTCGTACTTCGTCATTCTTTGCAAAAATGCTTCCCGGACTACGCAACAAGGCGACGGCAAGTGAATCTCAGCTTCGAATGATTGAATAAAAGCCTGAATCTCATTTAAGGACACTTACTAAGAGAGGATTGACCTCTGGTCTTTGAGCTTGCAATTGAATTCTGCAAAGCCGCATTGACATACTTCTCAAAAGACGAAAAATGCGAACGAATTGAATAGAGATAAGAGGATCCCAAGATTCGGCTACTGTCCAGACCATTTTCTTTCGACAATAAATTGAGCATACTTCGGCCTTCTGATGCAATTATACGTTTCTCCAGAGTGACTTCCGGATTGGAGGCACGCTTCAAAGTTTCAGACACCATTTGGTACAAGGGATTCTTGAGATGATCGGGATCATTTTTAATGAGAGATTTGCCGTAGTTGAACAAAACAAGAACTCCTTGTTGGAAATCATCAGACCAAGTGTTAGGAGCACGAATCGAATTTTCCAAAAATTTATCAAGCTCCGCAAGGACCACTTCGAGTTCGACGGAAGCATGTTCTGTGGACAAGATGCGTGATGCACGTTGCAGCGCAGGATTGCCATTGATAGCCAGGTGTAGCAAGAACTCCGGAACTTCGCCTATCACAACCCGAGTGCCATTGCGAATTCGTCAACGTGATGATAACGCATACAGTCTCTGAGATAAAACAACTTACTATTCGAAAAGACCCTTTTTGCATCCCTTGCCACTACGAAGGGATTGGAGCTTTATCAACATAACCGGATGACAAAAGGCGATTCGAGTGTCACTTACGCAAGATCTCATAGCGCTTTCCCAGTACGTCTTGGTCCTTGGCTAGGCTTCTGCAAGCTTCTTGAGCAATAATCTGAAGTTCTAAAGCGCTCATGAAGATAAATCAGTTTCCATCAATTCTTCCGGACCCTGAGTACTGTGGTTGTGTCACACCTTTTGATGAGAAAACTTCTGAAGTATCTCCATGTGCAAGACCTTTGGGTCTAGAGTATCGGTATAGCATTTCGAACATATCCATTTTTTCGCGTTTGGCATCGCGAATAACCGCGTAGAATACACCCATCCAGATCTTCGCGTCTTCGATACCATGAACATCATGGCTCAAGGCATTTCTCATTCCTGTTAGTGTCCTCTCCATGGTGTTAACAAGTTCTTCTTCGTTTATTGAACCACTCTGGAAAGACTTCCAGAATTTCATAGCCTCGGAAGGGAAGGCATTCTTGTAAACTCTCTTGAAGCTGGTCATAGTGACTGGAGAGAGATTTCATCAGGTACGTGGTTCTTGCAAATATAAACGGGATTTCTTACATTTATCAAACAAAGCGCGAGCGTCATCTTGGACTATTGACCCCGGTGTATGTCAGCTTACTTTTCTGAAACAGGACATAGGAAGGATTCGAAGAAATCACATCCAACAAACCTGAATCAAGATATATTTGTCTTTTAGAAGAACCGGATAGATCAACAGAAAGAAGTTTGTAAAGAGATGCCTGTGCCATATTTTTGGTCTCGGGATCGTGAGCTACAAGCTGACGCAAGGCCTTCACACCCTGACTGAATACGCCAGGTGTATCTTCGTAATCTTTCATGTAGACAGAAATAGCATTTATAGCATTCGCTTTCGAGTAATAAACGCCTTGAGGTGGATCAAGACCGGGATCTTTGGGATTCAAGATCATGAGACCAATCCTTCTGATCTCTTCTTCGGCATTAGTCTCATCAATTATAGCACGTTGCGCCGAAACTGACGAGGAAAAAAACAACTCGCGACATCATAAGGAAACCGTTGAATTGGGATCACAGGCTGTGTAACGAGGCTTACCATAGTGGCTCCCAACTCCTGATGCTGAAAGTTCAACAACGTATAGCCGGAGAAAGCCCCGCCGTTAGTGATATATCTCATGCTTACTCATGTGCCACAATATGACTAACCATCTTTTGCTGCTGCTACCCTTTGATACCCTCTACCACCATCAAGATTAGACAATCTTTGTGGTCGAGCTACCAGGTTAGTGTTCAAAACTTGAGAAAAATTCACTTGGATTAGTTTCATGGGCTTCAGGCGAAAATCTATCTGGGTTAGTTGGACGCGTAGCTCACGTTTCTTCGGAAGTTGAGATGGACCAAAAGACCCCATAGCATCAATACCTGATGGTAGCAGACCGTTTCCAGCTGATGGTAGGCGCTCCGACATCAAAGACCGGCTTGCTCCCCCAACCATATCAACCTGCATAGGTCGAGACATCACCAAGACATTGGAAAGATAGAGCAGAATGCAAAGACATGTAGAAACGCTCTCAAATTGAAGCATAGCAACGAAAGATACGATATTTGTGACGAAGTATTGAAATTGAAATTATTAAGAAAGGGTATAAACGTATAGAGTTTCGCGGGATGAAATCAATTCACCTGATATCGCGATTGAAGGCAAAAGTGGGAGAAATTGATTGAGGGAGAACATCCTCTCCCGGGTGCTCTTATCCATCACCGCAGCATGTAAATCAACTGATGACATTCCCGAGCTGTAAGCATACCAATGAACACGCTATCTTATCGACCTACGGATTCAACACGCTAGGCAAGGTTGGAGAACCGGTAAAAGAAAATAGGTTGTTCGGTTGCGATTGATTTTTGAGACGTGCTGCAAAACAAGAACTGACTCCGTGAAAGAATCCACTTCTTATCTACGGGACTCGTACCGGAACGGAACAGATAAGCCCCAAACGTCAAATAGCCATCACTCACCCATGAGCACATCATACAATGAGGAGGCGAAAAAACCTCGGGTCACCCAGATCCGACATTGATAAATTTGATCAGACAAGTCGCTTGGAAAGTGGTTTGTTACAGTATTGGTAACGTCATGTAGATGAAACCTGATGAAACCACAACTCATATCCAAACTTGTTAACGGTTCGAAATCTCTATATAAGAGTAGAAGTGATACTCACAGTCGTCAAAGAATCAGATAAGAGCTACTTTGACTCACCAGATAATAAAAAGGAAACACTCTTAGTGGCACAAATATATATTATACAATAGCAATTCTTAGTCAAACTTGTGGTCAAGGTGTGACACAGAGCCAAAGAAAGTAGAGTTCCACTGCTACTGAGTCTATGATTTGGACTGAAGAAAGGCGTAATATGGGAGTTTTTACTAGTTGAAGTCTCCAGTATGACATTCCTGATATGAAAGAATCTCAGGGTGAAATACATACCTTTCAAATTGTCTTTGTGACATTCTCAAAATTCACCATGAGCTCGGAAAATCATCCAACTCTACGGACAGTTGTTGTAAATGTGATCATTGAAAAACGTGAACAACAAGTTTGACAACAAAATTTATCTTTTGGTAGAGATCTTGCCTCTCAACCGAGAGATCTAGATACATCTTAAGGCTGGGCAATTAGAGTGAAGTCGGCTCCTTTAGGGAATTGCGACTGAATACCCAAAAACGTGATCTTTTCGCCGTAGACACGAATGTCTATGTATCTTCGCTGATGTTTGTAAGAACTCATGAACGCAAACATACCCGATCATTGCTGAGCAAAAACATCCTATTGTACTTGAGTGCGGTGAAGTGTTACACTACAATGGTACTAGTAGTCGGATAGATATGATGCATGGAGACTACAATGACATCCAACAGGCAAAATTCAGTCATGTTCATCATTTTTAGGCTTCAGCCAAGAGCAGGTGAAGGATGGGCTTATGTCCCTTCCACTTTTGTCAATTCATCATCTTGTAAAATTCCTCATGGAGAACTGCGATAAATCCAGTAAGAAGATCTGACTAAAAAGAAATTCAAAAATATTGTGAGATAGAGTGAGTAGTGTTATACAAAAAAAGAATATATGTGAGAGCAAGTTCCATCTTGCAAAACATTATCAAAAGGATACAAAGATGAAGAAACATGTACAAGAAAATCCGAAAGTGAATTAAGAGAAAACGGGTGATGAGATAATAATACAAGACTGTTGATATATGCAAGACAAGAAAAATGTGTATAAAAGAAAAATTCGTGTCATTATCATTTTTTTGGATTTTGTTAAATTTTTGGTAGAGGCTGAGTCAAGCTTAACCGACGAGCGATCCGACGACGAGTTGTGGAGGCGGGCGGACTAGCGAGAGCCATAAGTGGCGGGGATGTGAAACTGAAGCTGACTGTCATGCCAACTGTTCCAGATACATCCATAGGAGACGAAGGGGTGGTGGTGGGAGGAGTGGTACCGGGCGTGCTCGGAGCAGGCCGATGAATAAGGATGGGAGCAGGGAATTGAAAGGCGACCCGTGACATCTTTCTGGGTAGCCGAGTTGGCGTCGACGGTCCTGGTGTGGCCTGCTTCATCAACTTGACGGTAAGTTCAAGCACCGCAGGTAAGTGGTGGAATAAGAATCCTCCATGCGGTGTGCCTTCGAGTGTGGTAGTAGGGATGCTATGCCGGGCGAGGTAGGAAACGACTTTTTGGTGATTGACCAGCGCGTCATCCTCTGATAGGATGTAGTGGGTGCGGGGCGTAGGGTCAAGTGTAACGAATTGAAACCAATAAAAGTGACGTTGTATAATCGTGCAGATGCCGATCTCACGGGCGAGCAGTCGCACAAGCATCTCTCCTAGTGTAGTCGGATGAGCATACACAAAGGTTCGTACCTGATGTGATGGGGAAATGGTTTTGTACATGATGAGTATATGGAGTCAATGAGAAAGAGATGTCAAATATTAGAATGTTTGAAACAAAACATACCAAGTCTGGCAAAAAGGTCAGAACAGAGATCGGATCAATCGCGATAGTCCCAACTACCCAGTCACTCGCTTCCCGGTCGAGGTAGCTGGTCAAGAGAGTTCCGAGACTGTGACCAATCACAAAAGCACCACCGTTCTGCTGGGCTGATGACTGCGAGATCGAACAAAAGCCGTGTTGACGTAGCATCTTGCGCACACCCATAGTCTGCTCGTGCAAAGATAAAACCATTGGCCGCATGTTCGATGAATGTGGGACGTTGTGCCATCGTTTGTTTCGAGCGGTCTCTGCCTTCAAATCATCTTCGTCCTGATTATGTGATTCCGGGGTACCCATGTTCATGAGTTTGTGAACGGTCGAGAACATGTTGAGCGCTGTTGAAACACAATTTCTCAGCAATTTGTCTCCTAGCATGCTAAATAAATCTGGACTTGGTTCACTTACAAACACTTTCATTGCCTACCAAGAACATTGGTCTTTTGGTGCGCCAAAGTAAACCAATTGCGTAGTTGAACAGCTAAGGACATTTCAGAGGAAGCATGTTAGTTGGTATTGAGACTAGGATGGCGGCCTTTCAAGTAAACATAGGGTTCTGTACTAACCGTGATTATGCCACCCAAGCCAGAGATCAGGACGAGAGGAACAGGTCGGGGTGCAGTCTGACTTGGTTCTAGAGTGCCAGGGTGGTACCAGTAACCGAAGGGGCCGCCAGGTGTTTGAACAGTGCCTTTTCGAAATCCAAATGCATAAAAGGCAACATTGAAACAAAGTCGAATGGTATGAATGATGATGTAAAACATCAACGGTCGATATTCGGCTTTGATAGGTTCAAGATTGGGTCGTAAGCATTGCACAGATGAGTTGCGACCTTGAGGAAATTGATAATCAAGAACCGATTCGATTAATTCGATGTCCTCTTCAAGTTCTTGCGTGCGTGCCTGATCAAGTTGTTCAGGAATTGACGAAAAGAGGATCGAGGACACGAATTCTTTGACATTCTCAAGACGGATATCTTCAAATTTAACTTGACCACTTCTTCCGTCCCAAATCGAGACAGACGGATTAGGATGGTAGAACCATTGACTAAAACATTCCCTGGTCTCATCTCCAGTCTGAAAACTTGAAAGGACCCCACGAAGAACGCGCTCCCTCTCAGATGGAGATGGGTAAATCAGAGGGATCGCAAAGTCGGGGCTGTTCAAAATCCGTAGACAGTAGAGGAAGTGAAGGTGGCACAACGAGTCGGCGAAAGAATAGGCAAAAAGAAAAGCCAGAGCCCAAGAGAAGATGAGTGTTGAGGGCCATGATTGAGTATAAGTCAATCCCAAGATGACGATGGTGATGAGATGAGAGATGGGAGCGGAATAGGCGAGGAAGAGGTGGACAATGCGAAGTAAAGCCTTGGCGATACAGATGGTGGGTTGAGAGTAGAGTTGAAATGGCGAAGGTATAGAGTTGTGTGGAGACATGTCGGAAGTTGAGTGACAAGGTCGGGAATCGTAGGTTGTGGATGGTTCTATTGAGTTGATGACTTATTTCAAGAATTGGAGTGCTGATGGTTATAATTTATTTCGACCGCTGTCAAAAGGAGATGATGTTAATTAATTAGAATGAGATCTGGAGAAAAGGGAAGCTAGGTGGGTGAAAGGGAAGAGGATTTATAGGATGCGGATGAAAGTAGACATAAGATAATCAAAATGGAATCCATGGAAAGAGTGATACGTTGATTTCAGAATTCATTATGATTTATCAGCCTGGTTAGTGTTGAAAAGAAGGCGGTTGGCGAGCTGCTTTGTACGCTGGACCTGAGTCCAAGCTCAAAGAGATACTGAGCTCAGATTGAAATAGGCTGAGCGATAAATTCAAAAATAGTAAAAAAGACCATCCCCTGCGGCCCACACCCAAATCTGCATTGAGTCATTCCTCAATTTGGACTTCAACTTTCTTCATTTCATGCTGTACCATAGCTGCGTGTCCTAGGTCTCATGACAATGTTTATGTGCAGCACCCACTTCTCATACCCAGTGCATCCAAGTTCACCTGACCAAGTCATAGAATTGGAACAGGAAGGCTGACGCTTTGGTGCATACCTCACAGTTCACCTCTGATGATTGGACTTCGAGGATGAACTAAGACTGAGTCGTTTGAGAGTGATAAGAAGATGGCAGACTGCAGTCCCCGAAAACTCGATGCAAAGATAATCTAGTCGATACTTCAGGTGCCATCCAAGACATCCACTGACGAGACGAAATCGCAATGGACGGGCAATGACAGGAGAGATCGAAATGGGCGAGCAACTCTAGGTCCTAGGATGACGGCTGGACAGACAAATTCAAAGCGAGATGAAGGCATCAATACTTTGCTTACCAAGAATACCATGTTGCGAGAAATAAGTTGCTCTTTCGTTGTTTGTCCGTGATGGAGATGAAGGTAGTGGAAATGATGGCAATCGTATCGTCAGTGGGCGTTGTTGGCAAATATATATTTGCTCGGTCACCAGTCTTGAAGAAATAAATCGTTTAATTCGAACAGTCAAGCCACAAAGATTGACTGGGCCCCGCGGGGTCAAAATCTCAGCGGTTACAGTGAGACATTTGAATGACCGAATGTTCTCGACAATTTGGTTTTCTCTAAGCTAAGGGTTTCTCCCAGTGAGTTGGATAGTCACCAGGTACGTCCAGACATGTGTGATCACCCCGAAGGGTGACTTCAAAGATCACATCCGTCATCCGCCCTATACATTGATGTCATCTTTGGTCGTGCTTGCTATTCGATGAGGCTATTGGGATGTGTACGCTCTTTTCACAGGATGCGAATGTAGATGTGCAGTTTGGATAACAGATTCATCAGCTGACCAGTTCTCTCACAAATATCCAGAGTAGAATGAGAGTCTGAAACACACGCTCCGTCTCATGAGTCATCGGCTCGTGTTCTTCCCCACCTCCCACTAGCTGCCATTGGATGTTGTAGCAGTCAGCTCGCAAACTCACATGGCTCTGCGGCCAGCTCCGGCTCAAAGCATCTCTCGTGGACAACACCTCATCAAACCCCCACACCAGTTTCTCTCTTCCTTGAAAAAAAAGAACTCTCAGTGGTATCTGTAAGGTGGCAAGGGGAATCCATAGGGCCGCGTGGAGCCCCTGCACGGGTCCTGTTTGACATTTTTTGTTCTCTCTCATTTTTCCCTATGTCTTGTCTTTTCATGTTTAGTTATTGTTTCACCCCTGGCCTGTTTTAGACAGGTAGGAAGTATTCCCTCCGCAACAATCATGTTGTTTGCACCTCAATGCTGCTCGCCTCTTCCTTTCATCTCCTTTTGACGTTCTTATGTTAGTAAGCAACATGTTTTTTCCTTCACTTCTATCTCCGTCACTTTGTTTTTGTGTCTCTTCTCCTGTGGCAGTCTCCTCGTGTCCTTTGGTGGCACGTGAAAAAAACTAAGGATTAGATCCCCGGGTCACCAGCAAAACGCACATAGTTGCAGATTGATTTGTGCCAAATCCATGATCCTAGGGGCTAAGATATGGTTATATAGTTGAACATGGATCGAATCAGATCCCCCGCAGGTCAGAATCAACTTCAATCCCGCTGACACACATCTTCACATGCTTGGTACGGATAGGCTAAATGATTTCTTAACGATCATTCCTTTGCTGTTTCGAAACGGCTGGACTCATTCAATTGCTATTCCACATATGTATCACACGGATACCTCATCCATTTTGCTTCTGATACCCTCTCATGATCAAGGATGTTTGACCGGTTGGGTAGCACTCATTAAGGCTTCTTGCGTAGCATGTACGTAAACTTTACCAAAGAATTGTCCTCGCTCCCCGCAAGACACTGGTCTTTTATACAACCTATCCGAGGCTTACCCCTTTTGCATAAATCCCTTCAAGAAAGAGCATGCGATACAAGAAAGCATGAAGGGGTAGGCCCTACATCATATCTCTTTTCAATCATGCATGTCAGGGATAACCTAGATCAGAATCATCTACATATATGTACAAAGCCAATGTCTGCATGTATAGTTGGATGCAATGAATGCTTTGGCATGTAACTTATGATTGAGGCAAGATGTTCTTTCCTTCTGAAGTCATCCCCTTGAAATAAACCCATATTGAATCCAGATTCTAGACATCCCAACTGCAAAATTGTTCTCTGTTTTAACCCATGATTTTTATCCTTCCAAATTTTTCACACATTTTTGATACAACACATTATGCAATCATCATCAGTCCCAAACCTGATCACTAGACTTAGACATGAAACCCTGAAAAGAAAAGTTCTGATTGATGTAAATTTTATGAATCATATGATCTTGGTTTTCAGCTTACCAGCGAACAATCAGTAAAGTAATCCAAAGATAACATCAAACCCTTCTCCACTTCATACTAGTTGTCAGAACTGAAATGTCTATTGATTTGCATGTGTCTTACTTTCCTCAACTCCATTATCCAGGGGTCTAACTTACCAAGTAATCCCCCAGAAGCACGATGGACTGGGGTAAGAAGAGTAAACCTTGAAAATATAGAAGCTAATGAGGTTTGCTAAATATAATCTTAAATTTCCAACCCATCAAATTCTTGATGATGTACCAATTTTCTCACAAAAGTGATCAGGTAAAACAGGTAAAATACCTCCTTCACATCTCTCACTTCAGAAACACCAAAAAACAACCAGGGAAGAAGTTTCCCTGCATCATGAAAAGGAATCAAAGTCCTCATGAAGTTCAACAAGTTCATAAACCAACTTAACTAAATTCCTTGATGAGATTTACTGGCCAGCTCAAAAAGGCTGACCTTCTGCTTGACCACAGCTAAACAAACATACAGGTTCCTAATCCAAACCCCCACCACCTGTTAAATATCTTAAGAAAAATGTCTTTAATCTCAACAAAAACTTTTCTCCATCTTATTCTGAGATAACTGAAGAGTAAAATCTTGAAAAAAAAGTGTTGCTTCCACCTGATCACTTTCTTTCTAAAAAAATTGGTATCCTTGACTAAATCTCATTACCTTCTATCAGAGTTACCTTCTATGCCAAAACCCACTCTTCACATAACTTCTTTATCCCTCAAGACAAGCTACCTATCCCAACCCCCAAAAAATGACCTTGTAACCAAGTAAGAGCTCAACAAATTCCCTTCTATCATTCTCTTTGCCAACCTCCTCCACTTTTACTGGAGATACCCAAGCATCTTTGCCAATTCTTTCCTCAAATCCAATCATGAAACATTCAAACCTCTTTAACCACACAAATCAGCAAGACTTCTCAAAGTCATACTGTTTCAAGTCTTATCCAGGCTGATCAAGCTAATCACCAAGAATGTATCAGTTTCAAACAAATTTCAGTTTGATTTTCAAGTATTCTTATCTTCAGTAGTTTGAGTGTCTTTTCAAGATAATCCAGCAAGTCACCAGACCTCATCTTGACCTACATATATATACTTGTCTCACCTGACTTATCAGGACTTATCTCAACAAAGTGATCTTAAAACTTACCTAAGCATAAGTATGTAAAACACAAATAAGTTTGCAAAACCATAGACCCACTGAACCCTAACCACTCATCCAACTCATCCATTCCATTCTTTCTCTCTCACTCACTCTGAACTTATCATCTGTATTTAAACACTCAGAAAACATATTATTCGGCATTGTGTGTGTGTGTATACATACAGCCATTCCAATATTTCTTGTTGCTCTGTTTTGAAAAAGAAAAAGTGAAACTAGGTGAAACCTAAGTTTTTACTTGATAAAACTTTAAAATTGGCTGTAATTCAAGGAAATACAGCCAATTTCCAAGTTTTAACTGGTTAAAACTTATGTAGGTTTCAAGCTCACAAACTTTTTCTTTTTTAAAACAGGTGCAACAAGCAATATTGGAATGACTGTAGGTATACCAAAAAAAAATTACAACTGGAAATCACTGTAACAAATCATCTTCCTCATCATCATCATTCAAAACCATTCAAAAAGAACCAAAGCAGAAAAAGAGACATACAAAGATGATTGAAAATCCTTATCAAGTTACAAAAATCATCAAATATCAAGCAGAAGAAAAAAGATAGTGATTTTTTTTTTCAAAAAAAGTGTTTTTTTCAAAAGAAAAGAAGCCAAGAACCTTTTCTCTTATATCTTTTGATTTCAATTTCATTTCCAAACCCGCATTGCCATCACTCAAGTAAAAATTAACTAATCACATTAATTTCATCATGTTTCATATAAATCTAAACCCTGAAAAACCCCACACAAACACAATAAGAAGGCAATTATATGTTTTGCCAAAAAAAAGAAAACCACCCAGAAAAGGTGTATATGATCTTTTAAATCTCTAGAGCTAAATGAATATATAATGCTCTTTCTCTCTTTCTTTCTCTCTTTCTTGTTCTAGTATATATAATCTAAAGAAAAAAACAGAAAAGAAAAGCCCAAGATCGATAAATAAACCAAAAGCCAATAAAAAAAAAATTAACAATCAATCAAACTTTTAAAAGATGAAAAATAGATTTTGTAAAAAAATGTAAAAAACAATAAAGTATAAAAAACAAAAAAGTATAAAAAGGAAAAGTTAGAAAAGAAAAATCCTCTCCAAAACGTTTTCTCGAGCTTCATGTTTTTCCCAATTATATGTTTCGAAAAACGCTCAAAAGAAATCCATGTATCAAATCCTCAGGTTCGATTAATATAAGTGACCTGATCAATTCAAAGATACCTTATGTGACCCACGAGCAATGAATAATAATTTTCAAATATGTATGTCTATATATTTCTTGCTGAGTCCATAGTAATAGTAGTAGTAGCAGTAAGTAGCAGTAAGTAGCAGTAAGTAGCAGTAAGTAGTAGTAGTAATAGTAGTGATAATAGTAATCTTAAATCAAGTGGTGAAAGTTTAAAGAAATCCTTTGGATCTCTTCTTGAATGATGCTTTCATGTATGATTTACTAATTTCGTGTCTTCTCAACCATTCGTGGGTTTTCGTTCCCAAATAGATAGATAAATCGAAAAGGTTGAGGCCAAAGTGTAATCTCCTTTTTGTTTTGGATTGAAAAAGAAAAAAACAAAAAAACAACACGATAGACGAGATCATCTTGGGATTTTTCAATTACCAAGGTTCGAGCGCTTGAGGGATAGGTAGTAGAGTTGAGAGAGAGAGCCGAAGTGAAAGAGACGGCCAAAAGACTTTGTTTTTGGAGTGATTGAACTGAGTCCTCGATGAAGGCATCGTGTGATAAGCCGTTCATCGAGAGGCGGACCAGAGACGAAGCTCTGTAAGTCCATCGGTAACGAGAGCTCATTGGATTGCTCGACGAACCATCTAAGAAGTTAATGGCTGATCAGCTAAAAAACTTGAATGTTCAGATAAGACAAATCCACTTACTTCTTTGGCCCACTTGGCAAGCTTCTTGGTTTCTGAACCTCCAATCCTAGTCCTTCCATTCTTCAGAGCATCAGCAACCCATCTTTGGTCTAACAAAGCTTTAAGCTGTCCATTCGGATACATTTCCGCTAAATCTCCAATCACTCCTAATGCTCCTTTCAACAATTCCTCAGTCTTATCCTGATCAGTGACTACAATATGAACAAAACTACAAATCGTAGTGGTGTGTGGTAACAATAGCTCTGCTTTATTAGCCGACTTCATTCCAGCTAGAATACCAGCATAAGCCTCCAAGATACCTTCCCTCAATTGATTAATGTAATCAACCAGATCATAATTGTTAGGATCTGCACGCATTGCTCCAGCTTGTTGAAGTACCCCAATAGTCGTATCCAAAAACGGTTCAAAGTTACCACCGATTGCCAATGCGATATCACCAAAGCAAGATAAGATAGGTGGTTTGACACTTCGATGTAAGACTGTACTCTGTAGATCTTGTAAAAGAAGTTCCATAAAGCCTTGTGCGAATGGAGTAGCTTGTTCTCCCAATCCTCGACAGATATCACCGACGATTCCAACACCGATACAACATAGAGGATATTCTTCGTGAGATTTCAGAGCAGCATCGAGGAATGGAATGAATGCCGATAGATAAGGCAAGAAGTCTGTCTCCAGCGCTGAGTATAACAGGATAGAGAGTTCAATGATGAGAAAACCGAGGATTCCGGATGACGACTGGTTTATTCAAAAAAAAAGCTTACCAAAGGTCATGGCACCCACGACAAGGAAAGCGTCATCGAGAATGGGTGATTTATGACCAGCTCCTTGAATAAGTCGTAAAATCAAAGTCATAGTCCTATCGGCCATCGGTTTGACCTCTTTACCCATTCGACGGACAGCGTTCTGTAAAAACACAAGTCAGCATATGATGAGAGACGCGATCTTGAATAACTTTAGTAACTCACAGTCAAGACTGCACAAAAGGCGACTTGTAAATCAGCATAGTTGCGACGATCGTCATCTCCAACCAGCTGGCCTTGCATGCCAAGAAGACGCTCGGAGCGTTCAAGGATCACAACCAAGGTGCTTGAGACTACAGGAAGAGCATCTCCTGGAGCAAATTTGATAAGCGTGCCAAGCGCTTCGTAGGCTGAGGTTCTCGCAGTGGGTTCATCCGCAACTCTGAGAAATCGAAACAAAAGTACGAGCATCAATACTCAAAGGTCTACAAGAAGGAAGTCAATTGTACAACTTGACTGACCCTTCGGAAAAGGTAAGGATAGCTTTAGCGATACCTTCGTAAAATCGACTCAAGACCGAAGTAGGTTTTGTAGGGTCACCAAGTTGCTCTGAAAGGTTCATCAGACCCCAGCAGCAATTACCAACAATTCGAGCGTTATCACTTAATCCACCAATCAACATCGTGATCAAAGGTTCCAAGTGAATATCAGGTTTGATTGTAGAGACCAATTGATCTGTCACTCGTCCTAAAGTCCAAGCAGCAGTATCTTTAACATGAAGAGATGGATCGCGCATCATTTCGATCAAAGTCGGTAAGGCTTGTGAGACCAAGGGGTCAAGAACTTTAGGATCCGGTCCGTCAAGGATCGAACCGAATGCCATGACAGCAGCATCCCGTTGATGCCAATCAGTAGATTTGATATTGTTCTCAACAAACGGAATCACTGGTGTGACGATCGCGTCCCCTACGGTCTGTGCCAAGAGAGCCAAAGAAGTACCAGCAGCCATACTGACGTTCCACTCGTCTTCATCGGCATCCTCACTCTGTTTAGTGAGCAATTGAAGCAAGACAGGTAAGATCTCAGGTAAAGCCACTTTGGCAAAGTGTTGAGATTCGCGTTCAGGAGGTTCTGAATACTCCAAGGCTTCTTCTGCTTCGATTTGTAGTTCGATTTCTTCGTCACAGACCGTTGACCAAAATTCAACAGCTTGAAGGACTACGCGATCGTCGGTGTGTTTCATACCGAGTACAGTGAGCTATAAGTCAAAGAATGAGATTCGTTAACAAAGGGATTATCAGGTGATGATCAGAAGCAAAATAACATACGCCAAAGAGGGCCCTTTCCATGTAAAATCTCATCTTATCATAGTACAATTGCATGATCTTGACAAGACATGCAAATGCACCTACCTGAACGTCAGGAGTAGGAGATTGTGTGGCTTCGCACACTACTTGCATAATGTAATTTCTCTCACCCTGAATGGAACCAATGAGTCAAATCAAGACGCGTCGTGGAAGCTCAAGAACTAGAACTTACCTCGCGTTCAAAATTATCCCTCACAAATTCCAGCGAGTTCAACAGAGCGCTGACGGCAGCCAACTGTACCTCTGGACTCGGTTCTTCCTTTCTTACACCAGAAACAACAGCAGTGAGGATCTCATTGGATTGAGAAGCCAAGACCTCGGGTGACTTGAAAAAGGATTGAAACGGCGATCAGATCAAAAGTCAAGATCGAGAACCGATCAAAGAACACTCACAGTACTTTCACAAAGATAACCGATAGCTTGTAGAGTAGCTTGACGTAATGGTACTCCATTAGCTTGATTATTGATGATTTGAAGTAATTGTCCAATGAGACCAGGCCATAGACCCAAAGGAAGTTCCACAGCTCCTACAGCCGCAATAGTTTGACCTGAAACTTGTCTAACAGCTCTTTGTTCATCACCTAACAATCTGATCAGTTCATCTTTAATCTTTTGACGAGACTCCTCAGCCATCGATCTCCAACGTTCACTCAATTCTTCCACTCGAACCGATTCACGTGAGCTCAAAGCATTCTTGATCGCCAAACCTGCAGCATTTCGAATATGAGGTTGTTGTTCTGTAGTGCTCAGGACGGTTAAGAGTGAATCAAGATAAGGAGCAAAGTGTTCTCTAGAAGCTGTCTCGAGTTGATTAGTAGCGCTTGATCGAAGTTCTGGATCAGATGAAAGGGTATTGGAAAGTAAAGTAGCTGCATCCATGATGAGAATTGATCTGAAGAGAAAAGGTTAAGGATGTTAAAAATGGGAGAAAATCAAAGAGAAGGTGTGAATGAAATGATAAAGAAATGAGGTTCAGAAGGCGAAATGGTTTGAAAGATAAGGAAAAAAACAAAACAAAAGAAACGTCAAATGGTTTGTTTTGGAAAGAGAAAGTGAATGGAAATGAATGACATACCACTTGATAGATGAAAGAATCAAAGGTAAATAGGATTGATGGATGGATGGTTGGAATAAAAGTTCGATTGAAGTGTAGTTTCAGATTAGATCAAGTCAAAGGGAAAGTGGAGGATCACAGTGAAACTAGAAATCCAAGTGAAAATTTTAATGTTGATCGAAAATTAAAAAATCAAAAAATCAAATCAAATCAAATTCAAATGACTTAGGAACTGTACTTAATTATTAAGCTCACCTTAAGCAACCAATTCTTCATGCTCTCTCTTCTCTCTGATCTCCATCTTCAACATATCATCAAGATTGTCTAATCAACAATTCATTCAACCTTGACTTACTTAAAACATTGTATGTAGATCTCTGCACGCGCATCAGCATCAATTGTAGATGTGTTTGCATACATAGACATGATTCTTGTGGAAAAAGGCAATTTGGCAATTTGATTTAAATTGCATGAGGAAACTTGAAAATGTGATGGATGCTGGGAGGCTGAGCCAGATGGATAATCCAAAAACCACTCCTCAAATCAACCTCAGAGTTCTCATCATCAATCAACCTTTAAACCCTTTGATACATTCCATTCACTTCAGAATTGAAGATGAAAATCCAATCAACTATATCTAAAGCTGAAAATGAAGATCTTAATTTCTCTCTCAAAACAAAAAAAGGTAAACATTATATCTCATTATCACAAAGAAAAGAAGAATAAGAAAAAAATGAATACAAAAGAAAACACTTTTACAAAAATTTAGAACAGAAAAAAGAAAACTTTCAACAAATCAAGAGTTTATTTAAATCTTGATTCTTTCTTTCTTTTTTTACAAAAGAATTGAAAAAGGTTTGAATCTTTCATTGGTTTTACAACAACTTAAATTAATAGAATTAATTTCTTCAACTAATTTAAACTTTTTGAAATTTAAAAAAAACCCACACTTCAAAAAGAATTTGCACACAAATGAAAACCAACCCAACCAAACTCCCAAGGAATCCAATCAAAAAGAACACTTGAAATTCCCAATTCCCTAAGCCTGAAGAGCTTGTTCTCTTTTAATCCTATCTTCTTCTTCTTTCCAAGTATTCCAATCCACAGGAGGATCCCAAATCCCCAAGGTCTCTCTCAACTCATCAATCTGCATTTCCCAATGAGTTTCCCATTCGACCGAAATCAATGATCTAGCCGACGAACCACACTTCAAAGCCCAAGGTACATAAGTTCTCAACAATCGTGCTCTTCTACCTGATGATAATCTTAAAGGACCGAACAAGGCTGATAAGGCTGCTACTGGTAATCCCATATTGGCTAATTCGAACCATTTGACGATGATTTCTCCTGATACACTTACTGGAAATCCGCCTGAGATTACATGATAGAAATCTATTGAAGGATTAATAGAAAATAGCAAGGTTAGGAATAGGTTGTGTTGGGTTTGGAGCAAGAGTGAGTGACTTACCATGACATTCACGATAACGTTGCATAACATAAGCTAATTCAGGAGAATCAATATACCGAACCTACGTCCAAGAAATCCAAAAAGGAAGAAGTGTAAAATAAGCAGCCATAAGATCTAAACCGAGAATCTCAAATCTCACTCACCGTTTCTCTAGTATCAGGAGACACATGACATCTCTCTAACCACTCCACATAAGTTCTACCAAAACTACCAGGCTCCAAGTTCTTTAACCGGTTTAAATCAATATCACCAGATCTGATCCTAGGTCTGGTTCTTAAGATCCTTCGACCTGATTCCGATTCTAACATTTGATCTCTTAATTTACTCAAGAACGGTCCTGCCGTCGTTTCTGAAAGAACAGCTACCATGTCTCCTCGATGTGGATCATTTAGAGATGCGATGGCTGATCCGACGGCCAAGAAGGTTTGTTCGAAACTATTGAGTGGTACATGATGTTCGTAGTTTCCATTGAGATTGGTTGAACTGGTATTCGGATTGGTATTGTTGGTAGTAGTAGTAGTGGTACTGAGTTGGCGTTGAGTGTTGGGTCGAAGAAATGGTAAATCGAGTTGTTTTGCACTGATAGTGGTTTGACTGGGATGTGAGTAGATTGGAGGTTCTGCACCGATGGCTGCTCTTGAGAGTGAAAGGGTCAGATTGGTAGGTAATCGAACTACTCTTGAGATCGTACGATAGACTACCATCTTGATTCGAATTCGATGATTGATTGGTGATAAGAAATGTTAAGAGTTCGAATGATGATTTAGTTTTTTTCTAAAAGATAAAACTCATGAAGAGACAGTAAAATAAACAGATTAGATTGCTTGTTGTTAGTTAATTTGTAGTGAATGATGAGTTTCTCTTCATCTCTAACTATGGAATCCCCAATCACCCGAATCGAAGAGAGCGATTAACTTTATACTGCAAATCGATTATCACAAATTGATTTGATACTTCAATACAGCACAGCAAACAAGCTCAAATCAATTTACTCAAATCTTGAAATCTCACCATATCACTCTTACATCCTTTGCCATCCACACCTTTTTCCAACAACGGCTCCGGTCTCTTTCCCTTCATATCATTTGCATCTCTGAAAAGATACACTCGATATATCCGTTCATGCTTAGCATAATCAATCAGAACGCTATTCATGGTCCTTTGTTAAAAAACTGATTTACTAGTCAATCATTTATCAAATACAAAAACAATAACATCCTTTCTTCCGTTCTATTGTTATGTATCCATGGTTAGATTCCATCTCAACGAGCTACATACATAAAGGGAGGTCAAGGGAGGTCTGCTTGAAGGGATATATTAAAAACACCAAGATGTTTGATTAACATTTAGAAAAGAAACATTTCTTAAGTTCATCCGTTCTGTTTCTGGTTCTTCTTGTTATCTTTTGTTGTCCTTTTGCTCCATGGTTCATCCATGAGATAGACCATGTTGGGAAACCATGCACTGTGTTATTAAAATCTAAATCTTCCATCGGACCCTTCACCAACATAAAACCGATAAAGAAAACCTTGTAAACACCAGACCAAAAGGAGTCAACATAACCACACTACCAAAGAAGGATTTGTGGACGCGGTTCATGATTCATCCACCGCGGGGCTGTGAAGGCTGTGTTACAAGATCTCTTTTGAGTTTCTGAACGGCTCCATGTGTTTGCTTTATCATGCTTTTCAAACTATGAGAATTCATACTCAAACACGCACCAAACATTTCCTTAAACCAACCCATACGTATTTCACAGCCTCCACTTTTTTTTCCCTTTCAGTCATTTGTTTTACTCCTGAAATCTTTTTTTAGATAAACGGCTAGATTTACTGCAGAATCCCTAAGATGATGATTCAGATGTGTCAGAGTGGTTTGTCAAAGATCCATAAGAAAGATTCTTTTGATTTTTTGAAGTTTCTTGTTTGGTGATCCAGGTCTAAGGTCTTCAACCAATCGTAAATTAAATATCAGATATCCTACTTTTCAATCTTTGAAATGAAGCATAGTTATTTTTTGTTTATCAAAAGACTGTGATCCAAATTGCTCAATAACTACGAGATTTCTTAGTATGCATATTTTTATAAAAGAAAAATTTATATTTGGCAAAGCTTTCTTACATTTAATCCTCAATATCAGATGTATTTATAGTCTTCAACATCATTACTGAAATGTTTTTTCAGCTCTTAATCATTAAACACAATGAGCAATGCAGTAAGTCCCAATTGATCATCAGCCTAGTACATCTGAGCTTCAATTGCCCTTTGAAGTATGTATGGCAAGCTCACACCAAGCGTATAAAAAACCCTACGAGTCAATCTCATACGTTGGAATGATGATGAAGATGCTCGCAGCTCCAAGCAGGATATGATAAGATTTCAAGAAAATTGGATGACATATATATCTATCAAACTTCAAATCTTTTTCAAGAAATCAAACAAATACATGATAGTCTTGAGACTTTCTTGCACCATTTCAACCTTCACAATCAAAGTACCTATGTATACGTATATTCTTATCCAAAAACAAAAAAGTGGAATGTCTTATTGAGTTTTTCTTAAGCTCGATAGAATAGGATTGATTTTGCTTTGTTCAGAAGCCTTCAGAAGCTTAATGCATAATAATAGATTTGAGCTTGATGACTTGAACTTGAAATGAAGCATGAGTATTTTTTCTTGAGACATTTCACAGACTGCGTGTTACTTCAAACAAATTCAGTCTCACGTTGTCAGAATGAAGCATGTCACAAGCTGCGTTAGCTTGAAAACTCGATATGTCACCAATCTCACGGTTGGAACTTGGTAAAGGGAGTTGGTGATTTGGTCAAGTCACCAGGGAAGTGGTACTTAAACTTCAAGATTTCCATCTTACTACATCCAAGCAGCACCAGTTCGAGATGAGAAATCAAATTGACTAGAACTATCAGCATCTCAATGAAAATGAATCAGCATCAGATTTAAAAAGTCATCCGCATCCACCGGCTTGAAAACAATCAACCAAAAGTCACATTTCGAATGGTCATCGATCGATCGATTTCGCCATTTCTCAAATCAGCATTCATCGATCAGATCAAAGTATATCATCACTTACATCAACATTCTGAAGCTCTGAGAGTGATACCCACTAAGTTAATCATCAATCGTAGCCTTCAGTCAAACAAACCACCTTCATCAACTATAACAACTCCTTTATTCTCTTGAGCCATTTTAAATCATGTCTACTTCAACTCCAGATACTCCACCTGAGATACATTTGGATCCCGAGGTATGATTTGATTCAAAATAACTTGAAAACCACATCTTGAATACTTATCACCATTTCTTCAATTCCATAGGTTGAGGAACTATGGTCTTCTCGGGCCCTTCTCCTCGTCCTCGTCCTCCTCATTCTTTCCTTTTGGGTTTCATATTACCTAAAAATCCGGCGGATCAAGACCATTCACGAGACGCTCGTTGCTCTCTTTGCTGGTCAGCTTTCCTCCATTTTCAAATCCCTTACTCCTTTATCCTCTGCTTACCTTTTGTGACTCTTTTGATTCAATAGGAATGGTCATCGGTCTTATTGTTCGACTCTCCCCAGGAGAAGTGGTACAGAATATGATCAGTTTCAAGACCACCATCATGTTAAACGTTCTCTTGCCTCCGATCATCTTGGCCTCTGGTTACGACTTGAAAGAGGTCTTTAACAACCTCACTCTACGGAAATATGCAAAGTTTTGACTGAATTTGACCCTTTTGCTACCCAGGAAAACTTCTTTCGAAACTTTGGCGTCATTCTTACGTTTGCTTTTTGTGGAACTTTGATCTCTGCTGTCGTCATAGGGTACGGATTTATTCCCTCACATCAGCTGGCGACCCTTTCCTGACGGCATCTCTTCAACCCATAGTGCACTAGTCTACGTTTGGGCTCTTTTAGGTCTTGAGGGGCTCTCCTTGGGTATCATTGAATGCCTGCTTTTTGGATCCACCCTCTCTGCTACCGATCCCGTCACCGTTCTTGCCATCTTCAACACCCTCAAGGTCGATCCCAAACTCTACAGTGTAATCTTTGGTGAAAGCTTATTGAATGATGCGGTCGCGATCGTGATGTTTGAGTGCGTTGATCGCAACATTGTACAAAGCATTCTTAAGACCAAGATCATTGATGATTTTCGCTGTTCTCTCATCTAGAACCCTGTCTCATTTTCACGGCGAAAAAATCTCAGTCTTCTCCTTCTTCCATGGAGTCGGTATCTTCTTACTCGTCTTCCTCACCTCGATGGCACTGGGTGTCGTCTTTGGTCTCTCCTGCTCACTGATGCTCAAGCATTCGAGAGTATCTCACTTTCCCGAGATCGAAAGCTGTCTCGTACTTCTCATTGCTTACACCAGTTACTTTTTCTCAAACGCGCTCACTATGAGTGGTAAGCGCTGTGTATTTCGCCATCTCTTTCATCTCACTTCATGCTAATCATTCACCTTTCCTCATCTCCTAAGGAATTGTCTCGCTCCTTTTCTGTGGTATCACCTTGAAGCATTATGCTTATCATAACATGTCAAGAAGAACTCAGCGCACTACCAAGTATATGTTCACCACTCTCTCCTCACTCTGCGAAAATTTTATCTTTATCTACCTTGGATTAAGCCTTTTCACCCAGACTCAATTGGTCTACAAGCCCATCTTCATCATCGTTTCAGCTGTACGTTCATTTCCCTACCCTCTCTTCATTGCGTTTCTTGAAGGTTTTGACTGAATTATTTGATGTGGCATTACAGCTAGCAGTCTGTGTGGCTCGCTATTGTGCCGTTTTTCCAATCTCAAAAGTGATCAATGTATTCTTCAGACGAGCACGCGGTCATCGCACAGATGAGCTACCTCATTCTTATCAGATGATGCTCTTTTGGGCTGGGCTGAGGGGTGCAGTGGGCGTCGCTCTGGCAGCAGGTATCAAAGGTGATAGTGCCGTCGCCCTTCGCACTACTGTTCTCGTGACTGTGGTCTTGACCATGGTGGTCTTTGGTGGCACCACGAGTCGGATGATCGAGATCGTGGGTATTCAGACCGGAATCGAAGACGAGTTGGATACTTCAGACGAGGAGGCCGGTGCCACACATGGTGGCTTTGTCAGTCTTGGTAGGAATGATCATAATTCGACCTTATATCACGGTTCGCGTAATGGAAAACAATCTCTTGGTGATACACTCGACTTGGCCGCTGATGTTCGGAACGATCTACCTGCTGTTGGTCATAATGTTGGTGCTGGATCAGACGATCCCTACGATCATTTTGGCCATCGTCATTCTAGTAACACTTCTGTGCGACGTGAAGGTCGAAGTCCGTCTCCTGTACACTCAATTACAAGTCAAGATTCGGATGACGAAGTATTACCGACTGCAGGCTCCAACCCTGATCGAGGATCTGGACCTGAAGCTGATGAGGCAGGCAATCATGACGCGGAGGCTGGTAACCGGAAGGTTTGGAGGGATGGTCAATGGTTCACAGTTCTTGACGAGCAGTATCTGTTACCCGTTTTCAGTAACGCAACAGCCTCTCGAAAACAAGCTTCTAGGAAAGCTTTGCGTAATCAACGGATCACCATGCCTGGAGGCAATGGTGATAACTCTGGGCTCAGTGATCGACGAGAATCGGATGGAGATTTAGCAGGATCGACGTTTGGATCACAACCCACTTCACCATGGCTTTCATCATCACCATCACTGGAAGAGGGAGTTCATCGACCGCATCAATCAGGAGGTGCGCACCATTATCATTCACATCAGCGAGTACGGACATCGGACCGTAGCGCTAGTATTCCTTCACCGTTTCAAGGCTCATTTTCGGACGTACTTTCTGCCTTGGTGAATTATCCACCTGCTGGACCTTCATCAATGGTGAATTCAATGAAACGACATTCATCATCTTCAATCTTACCGATCATCAATCCTGGCCTTCGAAAGAAGAGAGACAGCGATGATATTGGGATAGTCGAAAGTTCAGGTTTAAGTCCAAGTCAGCAGATGTTAGCAAGACATCGAGCACCAAGTCCATCATCAAGGACAACAGAAGAATTAGTTGAAATCGAACATGAAAGAGGTATGGTCGAATCGAATCGAAAGACTACATCATCATCTAGTAGATCAGGAAGTAGTGTGATCCTTGAAGATGTTCAAAGCAGTCGAGGTACAGGACAAAGATGGGGAGGAGGTAGTAATAGTAATAGTAATAGTAGTCATCAAGTCAGTTCACCTGAAGATCCTAAACGAATGAATCATGTAAAACATAGATCAGGTGATAGAACTGGAGTAGGTGTTAAGAAACTTGTAAAAGAATGATGTTTTAGATTTGATGAAGTTTAAAAGGAGAAAACCAAAAAACTCTTGCGAAGACTCTTTATATATTTATATATATTATATAGAAAAACACACGAATGTGTGTGTCATGTGTGTGTGTTTAGTAGGACAAACGAATTGAGGATGATTGATGAAAGGAAAAAGGGGTTTAAGTTGGCATGAATGTTTCTTTTCTCTTTCTCTCTCTCTTTGATTTTGATTCTTTTTTATATATACATAGAATATTGTGTTGATCATCTTGAGAATAGAAGGTTACTGTTTTCTTCTTCTTCTTTGACTTGTTGAATATATAAGAGGGAAAGGGGAGAAAGCGGTCCGGAGGGTTTTGTATGATGTGTTTGTGTGGGAAAAAGATGTGGATAATATAATTTTGGTTAAGATTTACTACATATATAGAGGAGGAGGATAGATGAAAAGTGATTAATTTATTGTGAACTGGGGAACCCATTGAAAATGTTGATAACTTTTTTTTGATGTTTTTTTTCAAAAGATGAGGAGTGGGTGTTTGGATGATCATTTCATTGGATTTGACTTGAATTGATATGGGTTTCAAGTTGAAGGAAAAGTGAAAAATACCAAGAGACATATAAGCAGGGTCATGCCATACATTTAATGCATGTTCACTTAAGGAAATTTTGACCAGAAATCACATTTTGTGGATTTTTTAATGCAAAAATGAAACATGCACCACCAAATAGACACTTTAAATTTTGCAGAATGTGATTTCTCACCAGAAATTGTTTAAGTGAACATGCCCTTAGTTTCCTTATATACTATTTGGTTTTTTTTGGCCAAAAAAAGTATATATGGGTCCCAAAGTATTTTGCTTTGAGGAGCTGTTGCATACTTTGCTCATCATGGGCTACTGGTCAATGCTATCTCATCCTGACACTGGCAAAAGGATGAAGTACTCAACGAAATATAGTTCATCGTGAAATTTGTGTATGGGTGTAAAAAACAAAAAATGTACAAAAAACTATGCACAAATTTGAGTACTGTAATAAGGGTACTCAAAGTTGAAAGGTAGATTCTGCCTTTTTCAAAACCTAGAATACTAGTTTTTTTTTTGGCGGAGAAAAAAAACTGATATGTAGCCCTCACTTTGAGGCCCCCGTGCTTATAATTCTCATCTGTCATCAACTTCACTTCAAAAACCCCTTTTCATCTTCATATGCTTACCTTCAACTCGAGATGATAGCAACTGCTGCAGCCATCTATCCTCTTGGTTCTGTCCCTCAGTCATGCCTTCACAACTCAAGATGCGATTCAGTATAAAAACCATGCAACCAATCCTCAAATTCATCATCAGATACTGAAGATCCAACAATACAACAGCTCAGACTCCAACACTCCTAATATCACCTCGACCATGCTGTCCTCCAATCAGTGATAGATCCGAATCTTTGGATAGATCACACCAGGGTTAGATGGGACTGATGGGACTGAGGGTGATACCTTTTCAGGTTCAAGGTGTCAGAGATTTAATGATATCTGCTTTGGATTGTAAAATAGGTCCTTTTATCATTGTACCTCAGAGATCATGGGTCGGAGTAGATCAAATTATTTAAATATCTTTTGAATTTGAAATACAACCTCAATAGTTTTGTTAATATCAGTCACCAGTGATATCAGTTGGTCAAAAAGTGAAACTGCCTTTCATCTGATTTGAATCGATTGAATTTGATTTGATCAATTCAAATCAGTGGGTTCAGTCATTGAATAAGTTGATTCCATTCAATTGGTGAGTGAATAATTGGTTGATTCACTCACCGTTTGATTCCTTTTCATCATTCTGTGAGGTTGAAGTGTGTGCTGGCGCTGGAGAACCCAAATCTCACTTTTCCCGGCAGTGCCTAGTTTTTGTATCTAGGTTTTCAAAAAAGGTAGAATCTACCTTTCAACTTTGAGTACCATAAATGATGAATTCATTGCAAAATATTGATTCTATAACACAGGGAACAAAGATATACTTTGTGGTGGAAACTTGAAGAATGATTACATTTAATGCAGTTTCTGAGCCGAAACACAGGGATGATTGCAGAAAGAAGGTCAAGAAACGAAACCAAACATGATTGCACATCACAACAGCACCAAAACACTCAAACACAAACATGCTAAGTGACAAGTTCATGCAATACTATTTGCTGTCATGACCATCAACATTCACCTACACTGCTTTACCTTGGAATCACTTCTATATGTGTTACTTAAAAATCTTGTAGCCCAACTATTACGTTGTCCTTCTTGCAAAAACACTTAATTAGTTCCACTCCAATATTCCTTGAGCAAGTTCACTTACTCCGTGGAGTCCCTCAACACCAACATCTGTTCTGAATGTTGCACTGCCAGCAGTGAATAGGTTCCCTGGTAGGAACATGACCTAGGCTGGGGTTATCATTGAGAGAAGAATGGAGCATCAAATCATCTAGCACTGCACATCTGAGCCATAAAGCATAAACAGCAAATATTTGCATCTTTAACACTAGGTAACATGTGGAATTGCTTTGGCCATTTGCATTTCTGCCATGAACAGAGACTTGATTTCAGATTTCTGCATTGTCACTTGGACATATTTCAAATTGCACAAGTGTTTGTGATGATGCACTTTCACTAGAGTATGCTCAAAAGCCTTTCATTTTTGGTGGAATTTGATTGGCAACATGGAATGAATGCACAGTGATACTTGATCTTGTATGCTTGATATGAAACACAACCCAAGGTACAAACAATACACCCAAAAATCCCTTTCCCGTGACCCAAATTGTTTGATTTGATTTGGGTATTTCATTTTTTAATTTCAGCCCTAAGCTTGATTTGTTTAGGAAGCTCGAGAATATCTGGAGAAATAATCAAACAGCATATCAGTGAAAAAATACACATAAAGGGATATATTGAACAATAGAATAGAGTTGCATATACTGTCTACCACAATACAGGCAAGTCAAAGCAGCTCCCACAATAGCCGCACATCCAAGGGGAATTGTTACCATTAGAGGACTATTTTTGAATTTGTCAGCACAGCAAGAATTTCCTTCTTGGGATTGCCCAAAATCATTTTGTGACTGTGCATTCAATTGTTCTGAAAGTTTTCTGTCCTCCAAGTATTTTCAATTGGCAGCTGGGAATACCACACCTATTTTTTCAGAAGCTGTTTGGCTAGATGAAATGTCGTTTCCAGCAGACTTATAAGTTTCTGGTAGTCTTAAAACATAAGCAGAGGCTTGGTGATCCATCAAGATATTTATACCAAAGAAAATCTGTACAAATTTCATCTTGGAGTGGCTGATGAATATATCAATAGGAGTTTCAAAACTTGAGATTGGTACTTGATTTATCCTTTGAGAATATGTATGCAAGGGTAAGAAAGAAACAAAAGGTAGAGGTAAAAATCTAAGGAGGAAATGCAACCTTATGTATCTGAACAATTTGGTACTGAGGGTTTTCTGAATCCTTTTACAAATTTGAAAAGATTGGACACCAGATGAATTTGAGGGAGAAAGATCTTAAAACCTAGAGTGGATGCCCTTTTTGAATTATCAAGACGTGAATACCAATCCCCACAATCATGTTCAAACCAATTCAGAATCATGTATGGTTTGAAAGTCAAATAGCCAGATTGAATCAGAGTAAATTTGAAGCATGCATCAGTGGAATAAGTGAGGTCCAAAACATGTACTAGGGATTCTGAAGTCCTTTGGGGACCTGTACTACAAGTTTCATTGAAATCAATCAACATTTCTAGTTCAAATTTGAAATTAAATTTTAGATACTGATATATGAATTTCAAACAAAACATTTACGGTACTCAAACTTGTGTATAGTTGTGTATAGTTGGTTTGTGTATAGTCGTGTATAGTTCTTTTTGTGACTATACACAAGTATACACAACAAGGCAAAAGTATAATTTTGTTTGAAGTTTGGCCATGTGGTCTTCCCCAGGTTGAGGTGATGTGAAATAGAAGGATACACGGGGTCCTCAAAGCTATACACAAAATATGCTTTCAAAAGCAAAGTATACATGGTCAAAGACCAAACTATACACAAACCAACTATACACAAGTTTGAGTACCATAATTATAACTTTCAACTTTGAATTCATCCCATTGAAGATGACACACAGCCTCCAAGTTAGTATATAGTCTATGTATATATCAATATGCAAACATGTAGTAGATATGTGTGAGGAGTCAGCAACAATTAGGCACCATGTCCATGTGGTGTTTGCTTGTTGATGAGCGCACAAAGGCAGTTTGTGTGTGCTTGTTGTCAGGCGACTGCCACAATGACACAGTGAGGCTGACTCTTCACTAAAAAAGATGAAGAGTAAAGAAGGCAGTAGTCTTCACTTGATACACCCAAGTGAAGACTACAGTTAGTTGACCTCTAAAAGGAGGATTTGATGCCAGTGGGATGGCTAAGTAATCCCTCTAAGGAGCTTACTTGGAGCTCTGGTTGATCTTACAACTCTGGGGCCTGCATTTCTTTAGACTCTGAGGGTTCAGAGGTGCCATGCGTTACTTTAGAATCTTTTGAAGAGGACCCCTTTGTAAATTCCAAGCTTGTTCTGTTAGCTATTGATCCCACCAGCTCAGAACACCACTTGAGTTTTTACAATAACCTCGATATGATTAGAACAATGAGAATCAAGATACAACAATATCACTATACTAAGTATTCTTGGTGAACAATCAAGTAAGATGTGATGAGGAGTTGTGGAACAATAATAAGTTGGTTCTTCTTCTAGAGTGGGAAGAAGAGGAGTTTATATATTCCAGACCTAGGTGTCAACTTGTGGTTGGCACTTAGGTTTGCGTTTCTTTGAGTTAGGTTTGGGTTAGGTTTGCTATTACTAGTTGAATTATAGTAAGTCTTGTTGCTTAAGTGACTCTTGAAACTAGGGCTATGACCCGGCCCTGGCGCAACATTGCCGGCCCTGGGCATTGCCGGGCCCTTGAAAGGGCCGGCTGCATCTTCAAGCAGACCAGGGCCTGTTTTGGGCCTGTATTGAAGGGATAGGACCAAAAATGTCAGGGCCGGCACCCTGAGGGCCCAGGCCCATGGCGGGGCTCCTGGCACTCTGTAGGGCAAGCTTATTTTTTAGTGGATTGTTTGAAACAGTAGAGAATATGTGGGCATGCCATCAACAGCTGAATTGTGAAATGATTCAACATGGAATTGAATGATGACCAACACCTACAAGACAAATCATAATAAAGAGGAACACCAACTCTAAACACTCAAATAAGACTGTTCACTTTTGTCATTGCACACACTTCAAAGTTTGTCAGGAGGTTATTCAATGTATATGTGATTGATATGACTAAACTTGTATTCCCAATACTTCCTGTTCACAATCAACATGTAAATTTTTTTGTAGCACATCAACGTGCACACACAACACATGTTTGATATAGGTTTCTAAGAGCCTCTGGAGAGGTCCATATGATAGGAACTAAGGAATAGAGTGAATTCAAACACCCAATGATAACTTTGATCTCAGATACCCCCTTGTCAATCTCAATTTGAAGTGCCCAA